ATTTTGAAGATGTTCCAAATTCGAATCATTGTACAGGATAACAACTCTTAAAACATTTACTATCAGTGAATGTTTTTCTTTGAATATGGCTATTGAATTTTTCTGAATGCTTTAAAAGTGACTACTTGAACTTTATCTTGGTTTGGTCATTTTTCACACATGTAAATTTTAGGCTTAGTGATTAAAAGGGTGGGGTTTTGGAATAAGCATACTTGGGCTCAAACCTTCTGATAATGTTTATTTGCTGTGTGACCTAGGACAATTAATCTCTTTAAAACTCTTTCCCTAAGAAAAAAATGGAAATAATAATAAAATCTATTTTAGGAGGTTGTTTAGAAAATGTGATAACTTACCTAAAATACTTAAGCAAATATTTTCTATATGATTTTTTTCTCATCTGCAAAATAAATTAATAAAAGTAAGAATAATGTAGAGAAGGGAACACATCAATCTCTCTGGTCCACCCCTAACTATATACTAAGAGTAAATGGTGAAATTTGGATCTTAGTAGATGGTATTGCAATCCATGACCAAAAAATATCTTCCATCTCACCCTCCCAGTTACCCTCTTCCCCTCAAAATGTCCTAACAGAAATATAGGGAAAGGAAAATATCTGGAGAGGAGAAAATACTCCCTTATAGCTGTGCAAGCACCTCTAATACAGGTCTTTCTGGCCAAGGATTGAATCAGAAAATGTGTCTTAGATCTCCGTTGATTCTGTTTCCCACCCTTTGAATCAAGATAACCCTTTGGCTGAGGGTCCTCCTCAGTTGCCAATCGAGATGTGAAGCAGAGAAGGAGATTTGGCCAGGTAGTTCAGGTCCATGGGCCCTGTGTAACCTGCGGACAAGAAGGAAAATGGAGATGACCTTTAAGCCAGAATCCCCACGCCTGTCTTAAATTACACCACATTGTAAAAATGTGGCCCAATGAATGCCCTGGCCTTCCACCAAAGGGATAAACAATGCCTACGCTCTTGGAGGCTGGGAGAGAGCTGACGGTTCATCACTTCTGTTGACCCTTTCTCAAAATGTGGAGTCTTTAGAACTAGGGTTGCCAGATTTAACAATTAGAAACAAGGAACACCAGCTACATTGCATCTCAGATGAATGAAGAATCATATTTGTAGTCTAAGTAGGTCACAAGTAATATTTGGGACATGCTTGTTGGTTGTTTTTCTGAAATTCAGAGTTGACTCAGCATCCTGTGTTTTGCCTAGCAATTCTATTTTCAACAGTTTCTAAAGGTGAATTGGTGATGGATAATTGAGACTGACAGAATGCCTCAGTAAAATGCTGTTGACATTTAGATATTTGTTGGCGCGAGTGGGGGAGTGGTGACTGTCCTGTGCCTTATGGATGTTGAGCAACATTTCTGGCTTCTACCCACAAGATTCTAGTAGCTGTCTCCTGCCCTCCATTGTGACATCAATTATCTCTCCAGACTTTGTCAAATTGGAAGGGAGGCAATTGAGAACCACTGCTTTAGTGGCAGTGGCAAAAGCAGAGCTGTGAAGCATATGAAGATGGTAGACCAGAAGATGGCACATTTATCCAAATAATGATGCAGCTCTGGCCCCCACCTGCATTTCTTGCCCTCTCCCCACATTATTGACTCCTTCCCTATAATATTAGGAGCTGTCCAGACCTCTGTTTGAGAAGGCCCAAAGTATAATTTTAGTCCCATATTAACATATTAATTAATTAATTAATTAATTAATTTGAGGGCCAGATCTTGCTCTGTCACCCAGGCTGAAGTGCAGTGGCGTGATCATGGCTCACTGTATCCTCCAACTCCTGGGCTCAAGTCATCCTTCTACCTCAGTCTCCTGAGTAGCTGAGACTACAGGAATGGGCCACTATGCCAGTTGATTTTTCCATTTTTATTTTTTGTAGAGATGAGGTCTCACTATGTTGCTCAGGCTGGTCTGAAACTCCTGGCCTTAAGTGATCCTCCCACTCTGGCCTCCCCAAGTTCTAGGAACCACCACGTGCAGCCCCTATGTTGATAATAATCACTAGAAATTTGTTTGACTCTATTCACTTTGCCTTTCTACACAGCTCACCTGAGGATACACGTGCCAACTATTTAAGCTTAAAACAGACCTTCTTCAAAGAACACCCAATAAACTCTTAAACCAAATATTTACATTTTATCAAAGTCTATGGTTTGCGTGGCTTGAGAGAACTTAGCATTTGGTGGGCAAATTTCTTACAATCACACAACCTTAAGTATACACATTAATATTTTTCTCCATTTTGTTGAGAGAGAGAAATTTAGAGGCATTGGATAATGAATTCTATCAAATATATTCTATTTATTCATTTAATGTTGAAAAAAATGCTAATATGCCCTCCCATGATGTTTCCTATTTGTAAAGTTTCTCTGCCTGAATGTTTTCTTACTCCTTGGAAAAAAAAAAACTGCAGTGACTTTCACTCTATTAACTTTGACTGTCCAGCATTGATAATTAATTTTGTAGGCCTATCAGCTTATGTAGTGGGAAAATTTCGTTAGTAAGTTACATGTAACTTAATATCTTCATTGCTTTCCATATTTTGTCAGCTTTTACAGAAGCAATGGTTTTATAAAAAAAAAATCCATTGAGCCGAGCAAAGACAATGTAGATATATGGTTATAACGCTGTAGGAAAAAAAAAAGCCTGTTCTTCATTCTAAATAAAGATTGTATGTTCTTAAATCTCTTTTATTCTGGTGTGTTTCCTTAAATCAAAATACTCTGTTTCCTAAGAAGTCCCACTAAAGAACAACATTATCTTTTTTTGTAATCACAGGCCTTCATCATTGCAGAAAATACCTGAGCCTTCTCAGATTCTGATATTTGTATTTAATCAATAACCATATCCCTTTTTGATCTGCCTTACTTCTCCAATTGTATTTTCCCAGCTGCGTATGTTTTATTGTGTAAGAATTCAATTGAAAGAGCCATTCATGTTTGCAAAAAGGATGATGTTTTATTATTGGTTATAAAGAAAAGAAATTTCACACTTTGTATAACCGACCCTTTCTGTTATAGCATGGTGAATTCTGAAAGTGAGGAACAAAGTTAACAAACCGTGGAAAGCAAGGCCACAGAAAGATCTTGTAATATTCTGACCACATTATCACATAAGACCTGATGATTTTTATGTTTTTAATTGACAAGCATTCCATTCACATTTGAAATGCACAATCTTTGCATAATTTGAGAGTATGTAGAGTAGAAAAAATAAGGGAATGATGGCTGAAATATTTAACACCAATATGACATAGCCTGACCAATGATACTAAGTACTATATTATAGGAATAGGGTTCCAGAGTCCCTGAGGTGTTCCTCCTTTAGTGACTAAACCACAGGTAAGGGGGCAGGTGCTCAGAGAGGAGCCAGGAGGGATGGGGCATAAAGGAAGCATTAAGGAGGTGCAAGGGAACAACTGTTGATGAGTCAGTCTGGTAGTGTTTTAGTATTTTAACAATTGTAACACCTGCACCACTGTGCACCAGCTGGACTAATAACTGAAGAGTGCAGGTAGTCAGAAAATTAGAACCCAAGTTAGAGTTCCTGACACTGCCAATAATTCAGTGTGGTGTTGAATAAGTCAATTTACAGGGCCCCTGTTTTCCCCTATGAAATATAAGAAGGTTGCATAAGAACAGCGTATGTTCCCTTCCTGTTCTAGGAATCTGTTTTTTTTTTTTTCCTTCTAATGATCTACACGTTCTATGCATCAAGTATAGAGCTGTTTCTTCGAGCTTCTGAAAAGCAGAGAGACTGTTTCACAGAAGGTGTGGGGCACTTTCATGCTCTGTGGTTTGTGAATAACGTGGTCATCAAACAGGAATGAAGCCAGCATTAACCGTGGATGCACTGCCCTGTCAGGAGCAAGTTGAGAGTGGTTAAATGCCTTTTTAGAGGCAGTTTACAAATGTTTTCAAAAGATGAATAGTTTTCAATGTTTGGGAGAATTTATTTCAAATTGGAAAAATGTGCTAGTTTGCTACAGAAATAAAGTAAATGGTGCTTTTGCCTGAAGTTACCTAAGTCAGATAAAAACAGGTATTTTGGAGATTTTTATTGTTGCTGTTTCTCTAAATCACACACCCACACACAAATTCCCTCAATTCTCCATTTAACTTTTGTGTTCTTTGTTTGATTACTCATACAGGATGCTTTTTTATATTCAATGAAAATATTAAGATATATTTATGGAAGTTTAGCACAAAGTAATGGGCAATGTATTTGCCCAAGGACAATAGAATTGTTCCTACAGAAAGTAGATTCCAAAGTAACTTTAACCTGGATGTGTTTTCACCACAAATTGTTTTAACTTATTTGAGTTGAACATCACTTTCCAGTCCATATCACATCTTTTTCTTAAAAAATTATAAGTAAAAGAAGTACTTAATTATTGATCACTTTAATTATCAAGGAAAAACATATGATTTCTGAAGCACATGCTATATTAAGAAGCTTCGTGCTGAATAAGCACCTACGATGCACATTTCTTTCTGGTGTCAATACAACCAATAGTTTGGTAAAATGAGCTGAATCTGTTTAATGTCCTGTTGCTTATTGTATCTGACAAATAAAAATGAAGAAAGTGAAGAATTGATTGAGATCTTTTTTTGAAACTTGCACGTAATTCTCATTTATGCTTATTAGAATAACTAGGAGCCTTTTTGTAACAAATTAAGAATACAAATAACCTGTTATGACATAGTCATAGACCTACAATAATATGGTCTAGAATTATAGTACTCTCTTCAAGTACACCATATTCAAAATTCACTGGAGATGCTTTAGAGACATCTGTTGTAATTACAGGAACATGGTTTCTAATTCATTTAATTCCCTTTCCTATAAACTGTACATATAAGTGAATTTTAAGAGACTGTGTAAATAAATTTTTAATTACAAAATGATGTTATACAATACATTATTAATAATAACCAACAATGCATAATGTTTATGCATGAGTCCATTAGGAAGATGAGCTAATGTATATATCAATTCTAAAAGAATGCACTGATTTGTCCTGAATTTGTGAATGAAGTTGAATCCATGATGCAAGCTGATGAGTGCCATAACACAGTGACTTAACATGCTATTTTATAGTCAAGAAACATCTTGTACCTATGGGATTTAAGAGGTATTTGAGATTTGTTCATCACACGTGATCAAGAATCTTATTTTTCAGTGAGCCGTGCGGTTGTGAAATTTGGAATAAGACCATTAAGTTGACAATACTAGCTTTCCTGCACAGGTGCAGAATAACATGGCCTATAGCATCCAAATCTGTACAGTCCTTACATTTCAGCATGTGAAAATCAGTCTTGCTGTAATGGAATTTACCACCGTGGCCAAAAGGACTGCCGGAACGTGGTTACTTCACCGCGCTAGCGGTAACAGATTTCTGAAATCTCCATGGCCAGTTCCAGACACTCGCTGGTCTCGTGGCAAGACTCCAAAAGGCTGCAGTCCATGTCACAGTTGCAGTTGCAATCGTTCCGAGAGTGGTTTTCATCCGAGGTGTGGTGATACCGGTGAGAGGGGCAACACACCTTGGTACACACCATTTCGCATGTGCCAGGGAGCATCAGGAGACAGTCCCAAAACTGGCAAAACAGACAGGCGAGGATAAAGGAGGCACACTCCTCTGTTTAAAGGAGAAGGCCAATTAATAGTGGCACATCTGGGGGCGTCTATGAATGGCGGGCATGTGTGCTGGGGTACTTGATAGCTACATAGCCAACTCTTAATTATTTATCCACATTAGGGGTAATGTATACTGTTCTTCTCTCAAGCTCCCCCACCCCCATGCCAGTACTCACTCTACTTAAGTAATTGCTTTATTAACTTCCTGAGCATTTCCTATTGATTCGACATAATCTGGTTATTTAAAGTGCTGTCACTTTTCTAAACTCCTTTATTTACTTTGCCTGTAAGACTCTGGGAAGTCACACAATTAGCTACTTCTCTGGAAACTGTGCAACTGTCTGGAAAATTGCAGGGACTCCCCAAATACATGGGGCTTAAGAAGCAATTAGGGTTGGGGACAAGGAGAGGCTGTACAAATGTCCTGTTCCTTGTCACCAGGCTTTGTTATTTTTCGACATGGTTTCCCATAAATCCGCCACACCCATATTCCAGTGCAAGCAAAAAGCACATTTCAAAACTTAATATAAATGCTTTTTAAAATAATCACAGCTTTTGGGTTGTGTTTTATTTTTAATCCCTGTTTCCGTTTCCCTCCAGTTATGTAAAGCCTTGATTTTATATTCAAGTTGTTTAAGTGAAATACGTCATCATATGCCTAAAAGGTTTTAAATCTTATCAATCCTTTTTAAGAAAATTGGTTTAAAAATTTACTACACAGACTTGTAAAAATCTGGAAAGTATCTCTAAGGCATTGAAGGTAATTGGTAATTCTAGCCAAACAGCTGTGATGGGTTATAGATTATTATGTTTTTTTTTCCATAAAGGGAATTAGTTAGAAGATGTAGCAGTTCTCTTGTTAAAATTATAACTTTTCTTTAAGTTAAAAAAGTTTTAAAAACTTGTGAGTGCTTCATAAAAGGGTAAATAAGTGTCCATGTGATATATTATCTAATTAATTAAAATCAGTAATCTGAAGATTATTGATGATTGAAAGTAACATTCTAGTGTGAACTGGAGAAAAATTTCTCCTCCAGATGGGGTTATCAATTGATTTAAGTTTGACTTTCATAAGGATCTATATTTTTTCCAGTAAGAATGCTAATAACTTCAGTTATCAGACTTTAGTCAATGGGGACTGTATAAGCATGTAGAAGAGATTTTGCCTTAGAGTCTAAGTGGTCTTATTGTCCCATTCATTTCCTTCTATTTTCCAGAAAACTCTCTTCTTTCATTGTTCATATACTTATTAGTCTGTAAGCAAAAGAAAAATACAGAAACATCCTATGAAAAGGAAAAAATATTTTAAAGAAAGACACTTTGGTTTCTTGTAAAAACACTATGTAAAGTTCTAAGGTGAGTCTTGGACATAGGTCAACAAAAATCATCCTTCTTTCATTTTTTCTCTCCATCCTATTTCTCTTACCTTCTCTTCCTTTCTTCCCAGAAAGATGGTGGTAAAGAACCACATCATGACTGTTATGACTACTTTAATTGTCATATATTATTGATGGTGCTGTGGCCATTACTCAGTATCTATAGTTTAGGCCGCATATTCCACAATACCTCTAGAGTGTACACACTCATCTGTTTGCCAAATTTGCTGTATTTTTCTTCACATAGAGCCAGCTTTTAGCATGTGATCAACTCATCCCTATCTCATAGGTTACCACAGACTGCCCACAAAAATGCAAGAGTAAGTTAGAAATAGTATATAGACTGTTTCAGCTATGCTTTTCTGAAGAGGAAAAGATGGTCAAAGGTGAGGGACATACAACCTCATTGAGTTTTAGCAATGTCAAGACCAGTACTATAGCAGCTGCTAGCAAAGAAGAGGCTCTCAGTAGATAATATTCCAAGTGAATACTCCGTGATCCCTCAGGCTGAATGTGCAAACAGACTTAATCAAGCTTATGACCATACAAACATGAGTCCACTGGATCCTGTCCTTTATGCACGCAAGATTAAAAGTTTGCTTTGGAGCTAAGTAGGGTGGGAATGCAGGTGCCCTTAAGGATAGGAGCTGGTGTGTCCTGTCAGAGTGTGAAGGACCTGTTCATAAAGTGCTCTTATAATTTCCTGAGGGCATGCAACCTTTGGGTTCAAAAGCCAATGTCCCCTCAAAGTTCACAGACTCTGGAGGTCTCCTCTTCTGATGTATACTGCAGATTTTATTTACAAAAGAAAAAAAAGTTTTGGCTTAATCCTTCAGCCAAATTGGCACTTGTTTCCTTCTACCTCCCTATTTTGCACTTGAGAATAGAGCCCATTTTTTTCTGTTTCTAAGTCAGTCCTTTTTATTTGGTTTTAAAAGGCAGAGTCTCTTGCCCAAAAACAACATGGTAACATTAATGAATTGAAAACAGATTTTTCCTAACTTTCAAGTGTGTTCCACACTTTTCCTAAAAGGCATATTAAATAATTCTGCATGAGCAGGTAAAACTGTTTTGCATATGGCCCATTTTTGTTTGCACAGAAGTAGCACAAGCAGTTCAGGGGAAAATTTGCAACTGTTTGAAAAGAGTGTTGGATTTCCTCTCGTCCCGAATAAGTATATTTTTCTTTGCCTGCACTATTTCCTGGGGCTTTAATGTTTAATAAATGTGATATTCAAAGTCATATCCCATGATTAGCACCACTTCTCTCACCCCATCCAAAAGTGTATGCCATATATGCTGTTACCTGCTGCACATCTCTTCTGCAACATCCTCAAAACATCTCATTTACCAAGGCCAACTTGTATTTTGGATCTCTGTCTCCATGGTCCTACAAACCTGTTCCTCCTCCTATTTCCTCTTATGGATGGCTCCTGAACACCCAGATGAATTCAGCAGAAACCTGGTAGTCATTCTTTGTCATTTTGCTTTTCCTCTTCATATCCTCCCCACATGCCATTCACCGCTGAGTCCTGCTTATTCCACCTCAAATTCTTATTTGAAATCTGCAAGCTGCTCACCACCTGCAGGGCCACTGTCTTAGCTCTGGCCACTGTCAGCCACCAGCAGGTCAACAGCAGTAGCCTCCCGGCAAAGACACTCTGCTTCCACACCAGCCCACTTCAAATTCATCAGCTCCTTTAATATTTTTAATTCCAAATGTAAACAACTCACTATCCTAGTAGAGAAAAGTGCCAAATCCTTTCCTTCGCCTACTAACCCTTGCATGACTGGATTCCTACCCATTTCTCTGACTTCTGGATTTATTTTACTTACTTCATACATACAACTCTTCAGCCACACTGACTAAATTGCTGTATTTGGAATGCTCCTGGCTCAGGGTCTTTGCACATGTTGTGTTTTTGCCTGCATTGCATACCCTGCTGCCCCCCAACTTCACCCAACTCCTATTCAAACCTTTAGCTTTTTAGTTTTAAACACCTTCCCTCTAAATCACATCCTTGCTGAAACTCTCATAGCAACCTATTTTATTTTTTCTTCATAGCACTGACCATAGGATGGCATGAAACTAATTAGTTTGTTGCCTCCTCCTACTGGAATCTATGTTGCAAGAGGCAAGAAAGCCATATCTCTCTCTGGTTTAGTGACTAAATCAATGAATGATCTAACAAGTAAATATTGTAATATTCATTTTTCAGATACAAGGACTAAGGTTCAGAGATTGTTTCTAGGCTGGGTGTGGTGGCTCACACCTATAATCCCAGAACTTTGGGAGGCTGAGACGGGCGGATCACAAGGTCAGGAGTTCAAGACCAGCCTGGCCAAGATGGTGAAACCCCTTCTCTAATAAAAATTACAAAAAAAAATTAGCGGCGCATGATGGCAGGCACCTGTAATCCCAGCTACTACAGAGACTGAGGAAGAATTGCTTGAACCTCGGAGGCAGAGGTTGTAGTGAGCCAAGATTGCACCCCTGCACTCCAGCCTGGGATATATAGAGAGACTTCATGTCAAAAAA